AAAAACTACAATACTTGAAGGTAAGAAACGACATTAATTAAAATTCAGCCAGTTATGAAGCCGCAATTTTTGAAAACATTATTTTGAAAATCAGATATTCTCATTAGCAGATTTTCTTTTTTGGCCTGAAAAAAAGTAAAATGTGAAGCTAGTAGGAGGAGTTAGTTTGGATTTCTTTAAAAATCCTTATCTTTTTCAAGAGATGAATATCTGTTAAAGTTGTACAAATTACCAAGTGCAGTTGTATATCCTTCAACTGAGCGTGAGACCAACTTAAGTCAGCTGAGGATTTCCCACAGATGGCTGTCATCACTGATTGTCCATCACAGGTTCTGCTAGTTGCAGTATTCAGTGCTTCGACTGACCAGACTTTGACATCTTTGACCATCCAGCTCTGACAAAGAGAGATAAAGAGCCGAGTGTGGTCAGTGAGCTGATGAGTCCATTGCCAACAATATCTCCTCACTTCTTGAGCGGTATCTTAGCACATTGAACAGGAGAGGTGGCTGGAGACAGATCCCTAATGCACTCACTGAGCTAGAGGCCACTAGACCAGAATTTCCATTGCCAGAGGTTATAATGTCCAATTATCTCTGACACACTCCAGAATTGCTATTGCCATGATACTTAGGTAATTAAGCAATTCTATTGGTGTGGAGTTCTCCCATTCTTCTTGCATTTAAAGAGATGACAGGATTAATTGCTGAGGTCATGTGCAAAGTCAGCACTCAACAATCACTCCACAAGTACTCATATTTGGTATGAAGACGGGTGAGAAGGCAAATTGAAAAGTACTGGTCTATGTTGGTCTAAATGCATTGCTCAGACTTTGAAATAGACTTCTATTGCAACCCTTCTCCTTGGGAGCACAGAATGAGAAATACACCTACAGGAAATGAAAAAGACAACAGCCTGTGAATGGACATCTAAAAATAAAAAATTAATTTGAAAAGGTTATTGTGAACCCCCTTTGTATTAGTACTTTTTATAACACAGTTTTGGCCATTTGAAGTAACTAATCAAGACTGTATATCTCTTCCTGAATTCTTTTCTGCTCTTTGACATTTATTGCTGTTGCTATAAATAGTGTTTGAACAATAGAACATATCTGGTTGGCTCTATGGTTATTTATATTTCTAAAAGCCAACTATGTTATAAAAGCAGAGAATTGCCCTAAAAAGTGATCATTAAAAATGAGTCCAGCAGGCCTGGCTCAGGAGGTCACGGTTCGATTCCCAGTCAGGGCATAAGCCCAGCTCAATCCCCAGGGTGGGGCATGCAGGAGGCGACCAATCGATGATTCTCTCTCGTCTTCGATGTTTCTCTCTCTCTCTCCCTCTCCTTTCCTGTCTAAAATCAATACAAATATATTTTTAAATGATATGACTGGTTATGAACTGATTATTCATTCTTGCTAAATGGATTTTAATAAGTGTCCATGAATTACTGTGTGACTATAAATGAAATATTTGGGATTAAGAATAGCACATTTAAAAGGCCCTAACTAGCTGAAACCGGTTTGGCTCAGCAGAAGAGCGTCAGTCTGCGACTGAAAGGTTCGATTCAGGTCAAGGGCATGTAAGTTGGTTGCGGGCACATCCCCGGTGGGGGGTGTGCAGGAGGCAGCCGGTCGATGTTTCTCTCTCATCGACGTTTCTAGCTCTCTATCTCTCTCCCTTCCTCTCTGTAAAAAAATCAATAAAATATATTAAAAAATAAATAAAAATAAAAGGCCTTACCTACATGAAGAAGCTTGGGACTTGGGGGTGGGGAGCTGAAGGTTTCTTTCATTAAGAAGTGAAATATGATGCAGTTTTGGAAATAATCTGAGGTTGAAGTGGCTATTATCCATCCAGAAGGACCTATCCACAAGGCAGTTAGAAAAATATTGGTGTAGAGTTCATGACAGGTTTCTCAGCAGGAAATACCAATTTGGGAGCAATTGTCAGAGGCAGAGATATTTACAGCATGGAATCCATGGTCTCACTTGAGTTAGTGATAGGAAAAAGACAAAGGCCAACATGGGTAAAACCAGGTATTGGTGTGCTTGATGGAGAAAAAGAATTTTTTTTAAAAGGCCCCAACTTCCTATTACTATAGCATCACTCATTTCTGTTGGGTCTTATTTAGAATAAAATTTCTTGCTTATTGGTCATTTAGGGCACTTCCAGGTTCATGAAACACAATACAACTCAGAATGACATAAATTCTGAATATTTTTATTAATAAGAATAAATAATAAGAATATTTATCTCAATGATTGAAGTCCAAAGGTAGACTTTTGCAGAGCTGCTTAACTCAGAAGTTTAATGATATTGGCAAAGACCCAGCTTTTATTTTCTGGGGTGACCAAGTTGTCCTGCTTTGCCCAGGACTTTAGTGCCTAACGTTCAAAGTGCTGCAAACAAACTGGTATGGTAGGTTACCATATAACCCTATTCCATCCAGGCTGTGCTCTTGTTGGCAAATATTCCATTACCTCTAGTTCTCATTCCAAAGCAGTTAGAGACAGAGAAGGGTTTTCTCTTTCTAGGCCTCTATATATTAGCCAATAAACTGTCCTAGAACCTGTCCAACAGATTTCTCCAACATCCTATTGGCCAGAATGATAGGGCATACCCTTTCTTTAACCCATCATTGGCAAAAGAAATGGGATTGACAAGACAGGCTTAACCGATCAAGATTCAGCCTCTGGGGCTGAAAAGACACCTCCAGAAGCATAGTAATGAGGACAAGTAAGAAAGGTTATAGGGAGCCCATGGATTTGGGCAATGTCTGTGTAGTAGATTTAGTTGGATTCCTATGGGTTTTATTTTGTAGTTGATGCTTCCCTTCCCTCCCCTGTAGATTCCTTGGGGAGGGGGGTCTGTTTCCCATCTACATTTGAGAATGTCTGGGGGGGAATGAGACCTTGGCAAGTGACTCTGAGACCCCTTTCTCTCCTTTGCACTATGATCAGAAGCCACAGCTACAAGCCTGACTTCCATGCCTTCAGGTGAGCGGTGCTATATTCCCAAAGCTTCCACTCTCCAGGAAAGTCAGACTCCAGCTTTGTAAACCTGAGATTCTTTATAAATAAAGGCCTCATATTTCCTTCATAACACCCTTACCTCTGTGCACCACTGAGGAGTGAAAGCATCACTATTTAACCTGGTCCCAGAGGCAGAGAAGCAACATGAAGTGGGTGCAGAACTGCAGTCTTTCACGTGACCTGGTGCTCACTTGGTAAGCTACCTTAATGTTTGTATCAGAGAGAGGTATCAATAAAAGGCCCACAACTAGAACTACCAACTTATATATAAAATATCCCTTGATTGGTGAGGTCACTCTGTCTCATCTTCCAGAGCCTGCAAGACTCATTGAGAACTCATTTTCAATTTCCCCCCAGATTTTCAATAGCCAAAATGTTGGGTTTATGCTTCAATGGCCTTGAGCAGTAACACTGCAAAGATAGACTGAAGTAGCATCTCAGTTAAAGGTCAAATTTTTTTTTTTTAACCAGAGGTGTCAAACATTAAAGTAAGCCACTTTTCTACCTAAGCTGGTAGATGTCTTTGTGAGACTTGAAAATGAGTGAAGTAACACCTTTAATATTTTCAATGAACAGCAATACAATGACCCTGTTATTTGCTTTTTTTCAGAATGTCTGTGCTGAAGCTTTCTATCTGCACACACTCCCCCCTCCACAGAGGACCTTATATATCACATCTGCCATATCACATCAAAAATAATGAATGTCCTTTGCAATTGCAAATATTTGCAAAATATTCTCAGAGTAGGTGGGGATAGAGTTTGTAGACAGTTTAGAATAATTAAAGAAGCTCCATGTGCAAATGTCAAAATAGAAAAACATTTAGCAGAAAAGGGGCAAAGTGACAATACAAGTGGCCAGATCTCCCTATTATCACTTGCTGTACATCTCACCAGACAGCTGACTCCCGCTTTGTATGGGTTCCAGCATCCAGTGATTTATTGGGTAATTCAGCATTTGCCAGTATGTCTTGTGCTAATTAAATGCATCGCACTCTATTCAGAAATGTCACAATTGATTTGTCTTCTGCAAGCACTGACTTTATTTCAATCTTCTGAAAAAGATTTTATGAGCCCCAGATAACTTATCCTGGCACATTCATCTCCCAGGGCAGCGTCTGTGTGGGGTGAGGGTGGGGGCGGGAGAGGGAGGGGACAGTAAGAGAGGAGGCCCTCCGTGAACATTCAATGCAAATACCTTTATGAACATCTTATTTATCCATTATCTGCCATATACCTAAGAAATGGCATAGGGGTAACAAAATTACAAACTGCCCCATTAGCCTATAACAGCATTTAAACATGACAGAAGTTAACGTAAAATGATGTAGACAGGTCTTATTGGATGACATTAGATCAATCCAAGGAACATGTACTTTGAAAGTGTTATTTATTATGAGGTGTTTACTTATTCACAAATTGATTTTTACTGAATTGTAGCTATTAACTAACTTGCATACAAGAGGATATTGCATAATGTCATTTCAGGGACAGAGAAGAGGAGAAAATGCAGCCAAGTGGAATTTTTAGATGTTAACACATCTCGCACTAGTGCAGGATAACAAAGATTTCAGGCCGTCTGCTAACCATTATTTAATTCCAGGTAGGTTTTCCCACACACTCACCCTCTGAACCTAGTTGGAGCCTCCATGTTCAATCTCTTCATTAAGGATAAGCTACAGGCCGAAACCTGTTTGGCTCAGTGGATAGAGCATCGGCCTATGGATTGAAGGGTCCTGGGTTCGATTCAGGTCAAGGGCATGTACCTTGGTTGCGGGCACATCCCCAGTAGGGGGTGTGCAAGAGGCAGCTGATCGATGATTCTCTCTCATTGATGTTTCTAACTCTCTATCCCTCTCTCTTCCTCTCTGTAAAAAACCAATAATATATATATATATATATATATATATATATATATATATATATATATATATATATATATAATTGTTATTATTATTATTTTAAAGGATGAGCCACAGGAAAAATATCCAGCTTACTCCAGGAAAAATCAAGATTTAGCCCAAACAGCCATGCTTATGAATGAACTATCTGTGCCACAGCAAAAGAAAGCAGATAATATATGTCCTCTCAGAAAAGAGCCATCACTGCATCTCTGTGACCAGGAAAAGACTGAAGAGGAGACATTATGCAATCTTCAGCCAGGAAACTATAGAGGGGACTTTTCTGGAAATTAGTAACTTGCATTATTTCATTGTTCTCCTTATGTTAACATTGGGGTTTTGGAGTAAACAATGTATGACTAAATAGTAATAATATCAACTTGCAGAATCTATTTGGCCTTCATGTGAAGAAGTACTTTTCTATTGAAAGTAAATGTAAGTCTAATCATAAAGGCAGAGCTCTTTATGGGATTCAAGTGGGTGCTCTGCCTAAATGGCCATTGCCTGTTACATAGTTTCTATCTACCTATTTTAGAAGGCGAGTCTATGTGGGACTAATTTATTCAGAAGTCCTTAGAATCAGCCATTTCACCCTTTTTTAAAAACAGTGCAATCAAATGTGTTTTTTAAAGTTAGTCCATGGGATTTGGTTTGTGAATAGCTAAAGTAAATGTGAAAATAACTACAGAAAAAGTTCTTTGGCACAAAACACAAAAGGAATATAGAAGTTGACAGTTTACCATCTAATTTCTTATGCCTTTAATCTTTAACATACATAATTTTTTTCATTGACTAGATTAGGAAACTGAGATGCAGATTTGTTAAGTGACCTTACCTGCCAGTGCACAAAGAGCTGGAAGTGGCAGAACTGAAACTCAAAAACAGCTTTCTCTCTCCAAACCCCTTCTCTTGCTATCAGAGCACAGCTGAAACTGTGTGGTAAGGCACTATATAAACAAAATGAAAGCATTATCAGGAAAGACATATTTACTCACTTTTAAATCATTTGGTTTAATAACATATCTTCTTTTTCTTCTTTGATACACTTTTAATTTTAGGATACTCTTAGATTGACAGAATTATTATGAATTATTATTATTAGTGAACTGATATTAATACATCATTATTAACTAAAGTCTACACTTTATTCAGATGTTCTCATTTTTTTCTTAATGTCTAGGATCCTGTTCAGGACACCACAGTACATGTAGTGTTCTGTCTGCATAGACTCCTTTTGGTTATGACAGCTCCTCAGACCTTTCTTGCTTTGGATGACCTTAAAGCTTCTTGGAGCATCAAAATAAAAAAGGAGCCCACTGTGTAGCAGAACATATTGGGCAATGATACATCTGATAAGAAGTTAATTTCCAAAATATATAAAGTACTCATACAACTTGACAAAAGGAAGACAAACAATGCAATTAGCAAATGGGCAGAGGTTCTGAATAGACACGTCTCCGAAGAGGACATACAGATGGACATAGACTTATGAAAAAGTGCTCAATGTCACTAATCATCAGAGATATGCAAATTGAAATTATAATGAGGTTCTCCTTCACTCCTGCCAGAATGGCTTCCATCAATAAATCAACAAACAACAAGTGCTGGTGAGGATGTGAAATAAAGGGAATCCTAGGATACTGTTGGTGGGAATGCAGACTGGTACAATCACTTTGAAAAACAGTGTTGAGTTTCCTCAAAAAATTAAATATGGAACTGCCATTTGATCTAGTGATCCCTATGAAACCTTATACACCAATCAGAAAGAATATATGCACCCTTATGTTCATAACTTCACTATTTATAATAGCTAAGGTATAGAAATAGTCTAAGTGCCCATCCATAGATGAGTGGATTAAAAAAAAAAAAAATCTGCACAATGGAATACTATGCAGCTATAAAAAGGAAGGATCTCTTACCTTTTGAGGCAACATTGGGGGATCTGGAAAGTATTGTGTTAAATGAAATAAGTCAGGCAGAGAAATACAAATATCATAAGATCTCACTCATATGTGTAAAAATGGACAAAATAGGTCCAGAGACATGGAAGGATACAAAAGACTGATGAGTCTCAAAGGAAAGGGGCAGGGAGAAGAGACTAACCAAAGAACTTAGATGCATAAATATATAACCCATGGACACAGGCAATAGTGTGGTGAAGACCTGGAAAGGACAATAGTGAGGAGAAAGGAGTCAATGGAGAAAAAAATTGAATTTTTGTAATACATTTTTTTTTAAAGTTATTGGGAGGACTAGTCAGTTATTTTACAGAATTAATTGACATTTGTCTTATGTGGTGTGTTTTTTTTAATCATGATTAGAATGGGGTTCTATATTTTCGGTAGAAAGCACAAAAGGTAAAATGCCATTCTTATCACATCTTATCAAGGGTTCATGAAATCAATATGGTTTCTCCCTGTTATTGACCTTGATCAATAACAGCTGAGGGAGCATTTGGCAGGCTCCTACACTGTAAAGGTACTCATTTCCCCTCCCCTTTCCATAGTGTGCTTGTGGAAGGAAGTCACTATGTATAGCCCCCACTTAAGGATGAGGAGTGATGATCTCTTTGTTGAGCGCAAATTAATTGGCATTTGTCTTATGTGGATTTTTTTTTAATCATAATTGGAATGGGGTTCTATTTTCCAGAAATGTTGAATTTCTTTTGCATGAGAGGTTTGTCTGTGCTCTCCTATGTATTTATTCATTCACAGTTTATATCAGTGTGGGCTCAAGTATATTCATTTTACAAGTTGAATTATAATCCAATATTACTTCATGTTTTTTGTTGGTCAAAATGTTCCAGCTTTGGCCACTGGGCGTTCATTTGGCTGACTCTTGTGTCCCATTGACATATTCCCACCAATATAGGGTTGCTTTCTTAGTACTTCCTTTCTATCTCTACAGCTTCATCTTGTATCTTCCCTAGCCCTCAAACCAGTCATTTATCCAAGGAGCTCTGGTTCCCTTTATTGGAAAATGGTATTAAAAAACAAAATCTGGGTGCTAGCTCCTAGGGTTTTTGAAATACTATTGCCTTGTATATTATAATAAAATAAATGCTTAATGCACCTAAGCTATAGCAGACATTCTTTTTCCTTACTTTTTTAAATGAAATTTATTGGGGTGACATTTGTTAATAAAATTATATAGGCTTCAGGTGTACAATTCTAGAATATATAATCTGCATATAGTATTGTGTGTTCATCACCCCAAGTCAAGTCTCCATTTATCCCCCCTTTATCCTCTTCTACCTCCCCCACCCAACCCAGTTCCCTTTGGTAATTACCATACTGACATCTGGTCTATGAGTTGTTTTTTGTTTTGTTTTGTTTTGTTTTGTTTTGTAATCCTTAACCAATTATTTTTTCCATTGATTTTCAAGAGTGGAAGGGAGTGAGAAGGCTGAAAGAGAGAAACACCGATGTGAGAGAGACACTTTGATTGGCTGCCTCCTGCAGGAACCCCCAACAGAGCAGGGGGGGATGAGGAATGCACGTGCAATCCAGGTATGTGCCCTTGATCAAGAATCAAACTGGAGACCTTTTGGTATGCAGAGTCTCAACCATCGAGCCACACTGACGGATTATGAGGTTTTTTTACTTAATTCCTTCCTGTTTTTTACCCAGCTCTCCAAAACCACCTTTCCTCTGACAGCTGTCAGTCTATTCTCTGTATCTATAGTCTGTTTTCTATTTTGTTTGTTTACTCATTTTGTTTATTAGGTTTCACATATAAGTGAAATTATAAGGTACTTGTCTTTGTCTGACTGGCTTATTTCCCTTCCCCAGGTCCATCCATTCTGTCTTAAAAAGTAAGATATCCTTCCTTTTTCAGCCTACTACTATTCCACTGCTTTATTATCTTCTCACCTATTCATGGGCACGTGGGCTGCTCCCAAATCTTGGCTATTGTAAATAACACTGCAATGAACACAGAGGTGCATATATTCTTTTAAACCAGTTTCAGGTTTCTTTTAATATACTAGAGGCCCAGTGCATGGCATTCATTCACTCCGGGTGTGGGGGTCCCTTAGCCTGACCTACGCTCTTTAGCAATCCGGGAGCTGAGCGGGCTTAGGCCGCAGTCAGAAATCCTTAGTGCTGCCATGGAGGCCAGAGAGGCTTCTGCCATGGCCACTTTGCCAGTCGCCACCATTGCATCGCCAGTCATTACCCCAGCTTGTGGCTGAGCAGTGCTTTCCCTGTGGAAGCGCACTGTCCACCAGGGGGAAGCTCCTGTGTCGAGTGTCTGCCCCCTGGTGGTCAGTGTGCTTCATAGCAACCGGTCATTCTGCCATTCAGTCAATTTGCATAGTACCCATTTATTATATAGTATTACCATAAGTGGAATTGCTGAGTCATAATTTTGAGTTATCTCCATACTGCTTTCCATAGTGACTATACCAATGTACATTCCCACCAACAATGCATGAGAATTCCCTTTTTTTTTTTTGGTTTGTTGTTGATTTATTAATAGTAGCCATTCTGACAGGTGTGAGGTTGTATCTCATCTTGGTTTTAATTTGCATTTATCTGATTATTAGTGATATCAAGCATCTTTTCATATGTCTTTTGGTTATCTGTATGTCCTTTTTGGAGAAATGTCTATTCAGGCCCGTCACCCATTTTTTAATTGGATTCTTTATTTTCCTGGTGTTGAGTTGTATACGTTCTTTATATATTTTAGTAATTAACCCCTTACCAGATATATCATTGGAGAATATATTCTCCCATTCAGTGGGCTGTATTTTCATTTTGATGATGGTTTCGTTTGCTGTGCAAAAAGTTTTTCATTTGATGTAGTTCCATTTGTTTATTTTTTCTTATGTTTCCTTCTCTCCAAGGAGATATGTCAGAAAAAAAATATTGCTATAAGAAATGTATACAATTTTACTATGTTTTCTTCTAGGATTATTATGGTTTTGAGTCTAGCATTTAATTCCTTCATCCATTTTGAGTTTATTCTTATGTATGATCTTGCCTCCTTTGCCAAACATTAATTGGCCATAAAAGTGTGGGTTTATTAAATCCTTAAGTGTGGTGGATGCTGTGTTGTCCTGTCCAGATCTTCCTTTCAGAAATGAGACCCTTATTCCCTGGCTGCAGGAAATATTGGTAACTGAGTTCCTAGCTCAGTCTCTCTCCAGGAACTGTCTTTGGTCCAAAGACACATGTATTCCAGAGTGCAGCCCAGGGAGTGGTATAAAGTCTTGACTCTGAAGACCATCTCATCTTCAGGAGTTCCTGTGAAAATTACTGTTGAACCTGCACTGCACTTTGACTTCTCCATTGGTCCAATTTCGCTTCTCTAGTCACTTACAAGTATGGTCCCTAATAAACCTCCTGTAAGCTAATCTCCAGGAGCCTGTTTATGAGGGAAGGTGACATGACAACAAGCATCAGATGGATCCCAAAAGTTAAAGGGTTTTCACATTCTAAGTATATAAGAATTAATTATGAAGATATGCTTTTCAAAGATCATTTTTACCAATTTTTATTCCTCTATTTTTGGTCATATATAGTTCACATTTATTTATTAACTGTATTTGTTCTAAAATCAGTTACAATAATTATTTTAGTTTAGGCTCACAGGAAATAAAACAACACAATTGTAACAAATTGAAAATACCAACACATTTGAGAATTTAAACATGTTTTGGGGTATTACCCATTTTTAAAAAGCATAAAAAGTGAAAGTGGTTTCCATCAGTTTTAAAAATTATATAAAAATTATAAAATGTGAATTGAATAAACATTCACTTTTTAAATTTACTCAGGATACCAAAAATTAGTTTACTAGAAGTTTGGTGGAAATATAAAACTATATATAAGAAAAAATCAAAATGAATTATTGAAGTGATAGTAGAAGCAGAAAATAAAAGTAGGTTTTTAAAAAAATTATGAATGAGTTTTCAGATAACAAATCTAAAAAAAAAAGACTGAGG